TCTCCAAGAAAGACTGATTCCTGTCTGGAGTAGAGCAGGAGATTAGAGTCACAAGGCTGGCCCACTCTGCTGCACTCAGAGAGAAGACATCAGATGAGAGGTCGATCTATTGACCCCTTCTTCCTTGAGCGGAGGCGTGGCATACTCATGTTTCCACAATGGCAGCTTATGTGGAGGATGGATTAGAGGGAAGAAGGACCAATGGAGAGCAAGCCAATTAGGAGGCTGTCTTCATGGTCCAGAATAGAGGGGATGAAAGCTCCAACTATGGTGGTGGCTTCCAGATTGTTTCACTTTTGTCTTTGTAATTGTGTGTCCTGTAGGCATCTCATACTCACCATTTCCCAAACCCACCTTCCTCTGGTGCTCTGGACATTACCTGAGCAGGAAGCAGGAAAAACCTGCCTTCTGATTCAATCTGTAATTTTCACTCTTCTCGCTAAAGCAGAATGCAGCTGGCAAATTGGGGCAATCCCACTGACTCTTGAATTTGGATAGGGGCCAATGCAATGGTGGGCAAAGGAGCAGCAATTCATGGAGACAGCTGGTGTGGGGAGAAGAAGAAAAAGAGGGAGACCCTCCTCAACTTGGTATTAAAAAAAAAACTAACCTGGAAACTCAAATCCCTATACTCATGCATGCCCTATTAGGGCATAAGCACCCTGAGGGCAGAGCCTTTCTTTAGATGCCCTGCGCTTAACACAGCACCTGGTACTGATGAAAGTTATGTTGACTCAGCATTCCATTGTTCCCAGCTCTGTTTATCAATCAGTGTTGGAGAAGGCTTTGGTGGGTAAGGAGACACTATGTCCACAGCTTTTGTATTACATGCTCTTTGTCATGTACTTGTAAATAGAGGCAGATGCTCTCTCTAGAGAATTTGGATCTCTCTTTCCCCCAAAGGGGGAAGATACCTAGAGAACACAAAAGCCATTTCTTGAGATCCTAATCCCAAGAAAATCAGAGGAAGATAATGCCTGTGAAATTAAAGAATATTTTTATTAAGCAGGGAAGCAAAATATGTGTATGTGAGTGATTAGCCTAATACCGAACACTCAGCTAAGTGATGGATGTGGAGGGTATGGATACTTTTCTAACAAAGGAAGGCAGGCAATTGCGGAGAAAGATAGCAATTGGGCAGGTCCTAGAAAGGAATGAGGCAGGGAGCCCCATTCCCAAGGACAGGGGGAGTGAGGAATTCCAGGGATCAGAGCCATGGCCTTCTGATGCACAAATTAAAAGACATTCTGGGTGAAAGCAATCCTGACGGTTCAAGACTTGAGCACAAACAATAAGATAAGGGGGTGTCTCCCCCTTGAATGTTTATGTCTGTCACATAAAACAGGATGTGTCTGAGAGCCCCATAACCAACAGGTAAGGGAGTCTGTGAAGATAAGGACATCCATAAACCACCAAATGGCTCAGGATCTGCTTCAAGGCTGGTATGAGCTTAACTGGCTTCACAGTTGCCAATTCTCTGCATGTCCAGCTGGGTTTACTCTTGATCACTGCAAAGGATTGTTGGTATGTCAAGCCACTCTGTGTCTTAGCTAATATAGCCAGTCCTCATACAGCTCTTCTAGGTTACCTGGATAATTGGGGAGCTCAAGCAAGTTGGGGTAGTTAGTATACTCATTTCCAAATTCATTTGTACATACCCCTGCCTACAAATTGTCATGTTCTTGCCACCTTAGGGAGGTACTTCCCCACCTCAAAGCCACTGCTGATCTTCGCGATCAGCCCCTCAATGTGTTGTACCTTGATGTATTTATAATAAAATCCTCTTAATTCTCTTTGTCCTGAGTTTTGCCTCATTGATCAGGGTGGAAGCCCAAATGAAGAATTTTCCTTTAAACAATACAGAGTAAGCAATTAATAAATTTTTTTCAGATGTTTTGACTGACTGATCCACGTTCAGTCCACATAACCACAAAGGCAAAAGCCCTTCCCCATTTCTACCAAGCAGATAGTTCAGGGTAATGGACCTGGGTCTGAGTCCTGGCTTGGCCAGTCACTACTTGTATGATCATGATCAAGTATCTTCCCTTCTCTGAGCCTCAATTTCCTCATCTGTGAAATGGGGATGATAATACCTGTTCAAAATCAAATGGGATGGTATACCATGTTGAAATATGTCCATCATAGAACTCCTAGATGATAAGCCCTTCAAAGAGGAGGATAAAGTGTCCTTCAGAAATAAAAAACTGAGGGAGAAGGGAGGATTTACACAAGTTTCTCTGATAAAGACTTCATTTCTCACATACATAGGGAACTGAGCCAAATTATAAAAATAAGAGTCATTTCCCAATTGATAAATTGTCAAATGACATGAATAGGCATTTTGCAGATGAAAAAATCAAAGCTATCTATCGTTGCATAAAAATGATCTAAGTGACTACTGATTAGAGAAATACAAATTAAAACAACTCTGAGGTACTGTCTCACACCTATCAGGTTGGCTAACATGACAGAAGAGTAAAATGGCAAATGCTGGAGGGAATGTAGAAAAATAGAGGCATCAATGCACTGTTGGTAGAGTTGTGAACTGGTCCAGCCTTTCTGGAGAACAATTTGAAACTATGACCAAAGGACTGTAAAACTGGGCATACCCTTTGACCCAGCAATTCCAGTACTAAGGACTGTATCCCAAAGAAATCAAGGAAAAGGGAAAAGGACCTTTTTGTACAAAAATATTTATAGCAGTTTTTTTTGTGGTGGCAAAGAACTGCAAACTGAGGGGAAGCTTATCAACTGAGGAATGACTGAACTAGTTGTGGCATATGATTGCATGGAATGTTATTGTAATATATGAAATGATGAACAGGATGATTTCAGAAAAGCCTGGGAAAACTTGTATGAACTGATGCTAAATGAAGAGAGCAAAACCAGGAGAACATTGTACATAGTAACAGCAACATTGTAACAAGAATGACAGCTATTTTGATCAGTACAATGATCCAAGACAATTCCAAAGGACCCATGATGAAAAATGCCATCTACCTCCAGAGAGAGAATTGATGGAGTCTGAAAGAAGAGCAAAACATACTTTTTTTTCACTTTATGGTTCTTGCTGCTTTTTTTGGGGGTGGGGGGGCAACATGGTTAATATGCAAGTTGGGCAGCTAGGCGGCACCACAGTGCACAGAGTGCTGGGCCAGGAGTCATGAAGACTTATCTTCCTGAGTTCAAATCTGGCCTCAGACACTTACTAGCTGTGTGACCCTAGGCAAGTCCCTTAACCCTGTTTGCCTCAGTTTCTTCATCTGTAAAATGATCTGGAGAAGGAAATGGCAAACCACTCCAGTACCTTTGCCAAGGAAACCCCAAATGGGGCCACAAAGAGTAAAAAAAGCTTCAAGGACAGCTTTTCTCAACTTGATCCAAACTCTGTCTTTGAAATTTTCCCCTTCTGCCCTCTAGCAGACCAAGCAGAACAAGGCTGATAATCCTTTTTCTATAGAACAGTCCTTCAGTTACTTGAAGGCACATGTGCTACTCCAGGGTGGGGAACCAAAGTTTGGATTTGGTCAAAGGGCAGCACTTGAGGTTCCAGAAGGCCACATGTGGCCTCCAGGACACAGGTTCCCTACCCCTGCTATTCCCTCTGAGTCCTTTCTCCTCCAGGCTAAACATCTCCTGTTTCTTCAACTGAACCTCACACACCCTGCTCAGGCTGCCATTCTGGGACCTCTCCCCCTTAAAAGCTACCCTCAGTATTCACCACCACCTGAATTGGATAAATAAATGCCCATTGACTCCAGGATCAAATATAAAATGCTCTGTTTGCCATTCAAAGCCCTTCATAATCTGACTCCCTCCTGACTCCCCTTTCCCATCTTCTTACACATTACTCCTCTACGCATCATCTTCCATGCAGTGACACCAGCCTCCTGGCTATTCCATGAACAAGACACTCTATCTCTCCACTTTGACCTTTTTCTCTGGCTATCCCCCCTCCCTACAGAAAGATCTCTATGTTGGAGTAGCTGGATGGTGCAGTGGATAGAGCACGCTTCCTGGAATCAGGAGGACCTGAGTTCAAATTTGGCTACTGTGTGACCCTGGGCAAGTCATTTGACCCTGATTGCCCAAAAAGAAAAAAAAAAAAGATCATTAGGTTTTCGACTTATTTCTGTAAGTTCTCCAGAGGCCTAGGACCATGTCTTCCTCTTCTTTGCATCCTCCTCCTCTAGACCCATCCGAAGGACTTTGAACATGAATGAATGACTATTGCTTGTTTCTATAATCTCTGGAAAATTAGACTCCCTGGCCCAGAGAGAAGAATCAGGAGCAGGATTTGCAAAAAAGTCAATTTAGACTTTAAGGGGAAAACCTCCTATCCTAGGCAAAGGAACTGGTTATATTTAGCCTAAAAACCTAAGACTTAGAGGTGACACGGTCGCGGACTTTAAGCATTTGGAGGGTTTTCGGGTAGAGGAGCGTAAAGTAGCTCTGCTTGGTCCCAGCACAAGGAGCAGCGAGTGCAAGTGACAGGAGCTGATGGAGACCTGACCCGGCAAACACTTGGCGCTCGTTGAGAGCTGTCCCCAAAGTGAGACGGGCTACCTCCTCAGGAGCGGGTGGCCTCTCCCTCATTGGAGGTCTTTGGGAAGAGGCTGGGCGAGCCCACGCCGGGGATGTCACTAAGGGGGCTCAGGTTCAGGTCTGGGCTGGTCTCTGGGATGCTCCGCCGGTCCCTGGGAAACTCTGAGCCAGAGAACTACAATCCCCAAAATGCCCCGCGCGGCTCGCCCGTCACGTGCAGCAGCGGGAGGATGTGAGGGGAAGTGGAAAGACGACCCACAATGCACTGCAGCGGACCAAGATGGCCGCGCCCAGGGCTAGCGTAAGCGACTGCGAGAGCAGCGAGGATGACGACGCCGAGGAGCTGCAGCGCTGCCGGGAAGCGGCCGTGCCGGCCGGCTGGGGGCCGCGCGCGGAGGGGGGGCAGGGTAGGGAGCTCCGAGGACGGGTGGGGGCGAGGGGGAAGAGGAGGAGGAGCCCAGTGCGCCTGCGCAGACCGACTGAGCGACCCGGGAGAAACTGAGGCAGAGGTCCATAGGCCCGAGTGAGGAAGCCACCCGTCTCTTTTTATAAATGGGGAAACTGAGGCACTGGGACCATAAAACATATGGGAGCAGGGAGGCTTCTGAAAAGGAAAGTGACCCCCAGGATCACCCAGTGAAGGTAGTAGCAGAGCTAAGACTCGAACCCAAGACTGTTCAGACACCCTTCCTCTCCTTCATGAGACCAAAGATCTGGAGCTGGAAGAGGCCCCAGGGACCACGTGGTCCCGCTCCTCATTTTACATCGAGCCCCAGAGATAAGCAGCAAAGGGCTGAATTCGAACCCATGCCCTGTGTGAGCCCAGGTAGCTTCTGCCTCTCTCCCTTGGGCTCCAAAGCCCTTCCCACCCCTGGGATTCTGGAATGTCATGGAAGGAGCCCCGGGGGCAGCGCTGCCATTCCCTGACAGCCCTGGAACCCGCAGCCTCCCAGCCGGTCCAGGGGGATTGCTACGGTGCCTTGTCTCCCCCGGAGCAGAGACTGCCATGAGAGTAGAGCCTTCTGGAGGGCAGGACCCTGCCCTTGTCTCTGTGTCCCGGGCACAGCTAGACTGGAAACAGGTGGCCAATGAGTATTTGTTGAGTTAGGATGGAATATGTCATTCACGGCTCCTAGAACATCAGAGCTTAGAACTTAGAATGTCAGGGCCAGGACGGGCCTCAGAACAGGGGGCGTTGGGGCTGGGAGGGGCCTCACAACAGGGAGCGCCGGGGCCGGGAGGGGCCTCACAACAGGGGGCGCCGGGGCCGGGAGGGGCCTCACAACAGGGGGCACCAGGGCCGGGAGGGGCCTCACAACAGGGGGTGTCGGGGCGGGAGGGGCCTTAGAACAGGGGGTGTCAGGATGAGAGGGACCTCAGTGGACAATGAGAGTCCAAACTCTTCCTCTTGCAAATGAGAAAGTTTTCCCCAGAACTTGAAAATGATTCAGCCACGATCTCATCCCAACGCCTCATTTCCCTCTCTTTCCACAGAGGTTACAGCTAAGGACCATTTGCCATCTGCCCGGCCAAGCCTCAGGTATTTGGGCATTTTGAGCCTGGGCTCTGGTTCCATGAAGTGGAGGCTGTACAGCGGGGGGTCAGTCCGGGGTTTCGGAGCCGTCTGGGACACGGATCCTCAGGTCAGGGTTTCCTGAGCCCCTGATGAGGAGGCTGCTTTGTTTTCATTACAGACACAAGGTGGATGAGCATGAGCAAGACGGGAATGAGCTGCAGACCACTCCAGAGTTCCGGGTTCACATAGCGAAAAAACTGGGAGCCTTATTAGACAGGTAAGGAAAGCCCCACCCCTGAGCCCCTGCTCCAGAGTGGTTGAGTTAGAAGGCCAGGAGAACGAAAGTTAGTCAGTGTTTACGAAGCCCCTGCTGTGTGCAGGCACAGCGCCACAGACTGGGAGCTGACTTGTGAAAGGCTGAGATTCGTAATGAGGGATGGATCGTTCCACTGGCCCTTCATCCACCCGTGTGGGCCTCCCTTCCCTGGTGCCGATTGTAGCCCTCAGGCCTCTAATCAGTCCTGTGTGTTTATCAGTTGGGTCCTTCCATAAATCCCCAGCCATTGGGAAGCCCACCAGAGCTTTTGATAAGCTCTGGGGTGTCCAGGTGGCCCGCAGATGTTTGCGGTGTTGGCATCAAGGATGGCCACGCCCTCTTGCCGCCTTTGTCAGAGAGAACCAAGAGAAAACCATTCTCTAGCCTTGGTCTTCTTGGGGTGAAAGGTGAGTCCGAGGAAAGCTCCCCGTAGGCCTAGAGATGTCAGGGGACATCGGCCAGAAGGGCTGGGGGCCTTGGGGCTCGGCCAGCCCTGAATGCCTGGCTTAGAAAGTGACTGGAGGCCCAGATGCTGGTCTCCTTGAGTGTGACTCGTGGGCAGAGGGAGCCGGCATCTGGGTCTGACCTCAGACCAGTCGTTGGAGCTTCTTGGATTTCCATTTTCTCATGTGTCAAGTGTGGGTCAGACCAGATGCTTTCTAAGGGCCTTCCCGGCTCTGAATCCTATGATGATGATTTAAGGTTTACAAAGACATTATACATATGATCTCTGAGCCCACAACAACCCAGAGACAGAGGTGCTGTCATTATCTCTGTTTTACAGATGAGGAAACTGAGGCAAACAGGTGAAGTGACTTGCCCAAGGTCACACTGCTAGGAAGTGTCTGAGGCTGGATCTGAACTCAGGTCTTCCTGACACCAGGCCCAGCACCCTGTGTATTTTATATCTAAAACATAAAGTTTTACATGTAAATAAATTAAAACTTACAACATATACAAGTATAAATAAATGTCAGTTATCATAATAGGGTTATTAGGTCATTTGCTATATTTGTTTGCATGTTGTCTCTGCCATTAGATGGTGAGCTCCTCACGGGTAGGGCTGTCATCGTCTTCCTTTGTATCCCCAGCACATAGTAGGCCCTTGATAAATGTTTACTGACAGGTGTACGTGGCATAGTGAATAAAGAGCAGGCCTCCGGGCAAGGATGACCATCTCTGACACTCACTGACTGTGTGACCCTGGGCAAGTCACTGAACCTTGGAGATTATAAACTCTCCAGGATTATAAATTGCAGGGCTCATGTTGCTCAGCTTTGGTGGTGGTGAGATCACGGCAAGGTCCCTCTGCCGGTGAAATCACAGTTGCTTTCCCGTGCTTCACACCCGAAGATATAGAATGTGTTATATTGTGTATGCCTCAGTGTTCTTTCTCATTTTGGACCTATCGTTTCGTCAGCGTAGGGCCCCTAGGTGTTAAAGTGCCCTCTGCGAGTGCAGGTTGGCAGCTCGTCTATAACTCACAGTCTCAGCAAGCGCCCAGGTCCCCAAGAAGGGAGGGGAGCTGTCCAGGGTCACGCAGACTGTGTCAGAGAAGGGCTTGACCCCAGCTCTGAGGCCAGCGGCAAGACAGATTAGCGACTCATCATCATCATCAGGGCTGTCTATACAGCTCTCCTGGTGTTTTCTGATCATGCCAAAGACAGGTGCAGGCCGGCCGGGCACTGCTGACCAGAAGTTCTCCATCTCGTCTCTGTCCAGCCCCATCCTTTCTAGCAGCCCAATGCCTTGGCTGAAGGTTTTGAGCTCAGTCACTGCTGTTCTCTCCCCTTTAGCTTTATCGCCATTTCAGAATCCGGCCCCAGGCCCGCGCAGGCTGCCGTGCAGACAGCTCCCGGGGAGGACGATGGTGAGTGCCCACCCCCCTTTTCTGAGCTCAGACCCTCTGGCTGGGTGCTGGGGCCCCAGGGCTCACACCTCCGTGTTTGGTTCTTTGGCACCCCAGGCTTCCGTCTCTTCTTCACGTCCGTCCCAGGCAGCCCAAAGGACGCAGCTCCTCCCGTCAGGAGCAGAAAGCGGCCTCCGTCCAGTTCTAGGTAAGTGGGCGGCCGGGCCCAGAGTCGAGCGCTCCTGGCTTCCTGCCTTGGCCAGTCCCCTCCCTGGCCCCCGCAGCAGGCCATGCTCAGACCCCAGCTAGGGAAGAGTCATCCTCACGGCCCCTTTTTGTGTGATACTTGGAGGTTTGTAAAGCGATTTATGTATGCGTCTCATGGGATCCTCGCAACAGACTTGTGCCAGTGGCATCCCCATGTGACAGATGAGGAAATTGAGGGTCAGAGAGGTCAGGTGATTAGCCCAGGGTCACTCAGGCAGTTCAGCCCAGCTTCCGTCCCAGATGCTGCTCTCTGCCCGCTAACCCACCCTGTCCTGTCAGGAACTTGAGAAGGCACGGCTTGGCCCACGGGGGTGGTGGGCCAGGGGCCAGGAAGACCGACCCCGATTGTCTCATAGCAGTGACTCAGACAGCGATGAGGAGTGGAGGAGATGCCGGGAGGCGGCGGTGTCTGCGACAGACATTCTGCGGCCTGGAGCCCTGCCTGCCCAGGAGGCCCCCGCGGAGCAGCAGTTGCCCAGGAAGAAGAAGAAGAAGAAGAAGAAGAAGAAGAAGAAGAAGAAGAAGGGAGAGCAGCAGGTCGGGCAGGGGAAGGAAGCTGGTCCCCGGGGGACCCCGGAGAAGCAGCCTCGGCCCCTGCCCCTTCACAGGGAGCCAGAAGGGGGAGAGGCCCAGCACAATGGGGGCCACACACCGCTCACCACAAAGAGAAAGAAAAGGAGGAAGAAAAACCGAACGGAGGAAAGCGAGGCTCTGCCGTTCCCAGCGCAGAAGGGCCGAGCGGCCAGTACCTCTGAGTAACTCCGTCGTCAGCAGCGGCGCCTGCCTCCAGCAGCCGCTGCCACTCTAGGCCCGGGTCTGTCAAATGAGGAGGACACCCCTCCCCAGGAAGAGGGACGCAGCAGGCCGCTCCCAAACGGGCCCAGGGCTGGAGAGCTGTGGGCTTTCCTGGGAGCCACGGCGGCCCTTCCCTCCATGCCCTCTGGCCTCCCTTCATACCCGTTCTCTGCCTGGGCCTTGGGCACGGCCTGGAGGAGCACTGGGAGGGCACCCTGGAGTTGTGGCGAGGCCTGGCCACCATCTGCATCGCTGGACTCCTCGGGGGCCCTCGGCCGCTTGAGGGCAGGAGCCTAATAAAGCTCGTGGTCAGCAGCGCCCTGGTGCTCTGGCTCCTGTTCCATCAGGCTGGGGTCCTGGCTGAGGGTCACCCAAGAGGGACTGGGCAATCCCTTCTTGTCCCTGAAGCCGCTCTGGGTCTAGCAACTGGAGAGACCCAGCCGTGCCTGGGACAGGACCCTGTGGAATCACTGCGGAAATACTCCATGTGCATTCTCTTCCTGCGTCCTCCCCTTTCCCTCTTCACTCCCCAGCCCTGTGAGCCCCTGAGGACTTTATTTGTTTTCTGAAAAAATATAGAAGTTTCCTGAAGATTCCTGAAAACTTCCAGCTTTTCATTTCTAGAAGTGTTTAATTCTATAAAGACTAGAAATACAGCAAGAGAACAGAGCTGCCCTTAAAGGCAGTGAGTTCCCTGTCACCCTAACTATTCAAGCAAAGGATCATGGGACTTAGAGCTGGAAAGAGATGTTAGGGGTCATGCAGTCCAAGCCCCCCATTTTACGTATGTTCTTTCACTGCGCTCTGCTGAGCGCTTCACGCAGACGTTGTGGAGGGGCTGGCCCTGCTGACCTGTGAACTTCCATCCGGGCTTTAGAGTCTCTGAGTCTGTTTGTGGTTTTCCATAAATTCCATTTGTCCTCTCAGTTGCCCTCCATCTCCCCCACCTTAAAGAATGTTTAAAGGGTCATTTCCATGACTTAGAACTTGTGGAAATGTTCCATCCCTAGGGTGACACAAGAAATCTTGATGAAACCTTAAACTGCCTTGAGAGAAGCATTGAGTGCAGAACTAGGGAGGGGCCCGTCCCCCTGCCCTCTGCCCCATCAGACGACATCACAGGCACCGCGCGGTGCTTTTTAACCTCCCAGAGGTGTTCAGAAGCAAGCAGCCCAGGCAGTGAAGGACCCCTTGGGTTTATACCCTGGAAGGGCCGCGAATGTTCAGCCCAGAGAGACAGTGTAACATAGGGAATGCTTGGCCCGAAGTAGGGCAAGTCTGAGTTCAAATCCACACTCTGAAATTCACTAGTCGTGCGACCCTGGGCAAGTCACTTCAGCTCTGCCTACCTCAGTTTCCTCAACTATAAAAAAATGTACGTCTTGGGCCAAATGGCCCCTAAATCCCTTCCAGCCCTCATTCTGTTATCCAGTAAGACCTTGGAGGGTGGGATGACTGACTGAACTCAAAAGTTAGAAGGATTATGATGTGAAAGGGGGCTTGGATGTATTCTGGTTGATCTCCATAACATACGCCATGTCCACAGAGATGTGGGTCAGACTCAGTGGCCTCAGGCCCCTTCCGTCTCTGGGTGTCTATGCAGCAGTGAGGTCATGGAGTCACCTGCTCTCCCAGAGGCAATTAAGTGGTGCCTCAGCTCTAGGCGTAGAGTCAGGAGGACCTGAGTTCCAATCCAGCCTCGGACACTTACTAGCTGTGTGACCCTGGGCAAGTCACTTCACCTCTCTTTGCCTTCCAGGGGTGAGAATCAAGTGAGATATTTGTAAAGTGCCTAGTATAGTGGCTGGTGCCTTGTAGGTGCTTAATAAATGCTAGTTTCCTTCCCAGGATGTTCTCTTTACTGAGACCTGAGATGATCTGCCCCCACCCCGAGAATCCCCTCGCAGCCCTGCCTCCTGCCCCACCCCCCAAGGCAGGGTGAAGGAACAAAGCACTCTTTGGCTGGAAGTTAAATATATATAATATATATATATATTTATAGGCTCACCCCTGCTCGGGAGCAAGCAGCAGGAGATCTCTGTGTCCTGTTCATTCCCCTCCCATCCCTGTTCAGGAGCCACGGCCCAGGGGATCCCCACAAGCAGGGCCCTGGCGCCCTCAGCCAGAGAGGGTGGACAGCCAAAGCCTCGGGGCCATTCCCACTTGGGGTAGCGTTGTCTCCTGGGAGCAGTCGTTCGGCTTCTTCCGGCCTTGCCCCTCTTGCCCGGCTGGAGCTGCCTCCCCAGGACAGTCCGGTCTCCACCCTCGGCCTTGGCACTTAGGAGCACCCACCTCGCCATCTCGATGTTGCCAGGGCCGCAGGGCGTCTGGCAGGGTAGCAGATGGTGGAGATGGGGAAGCAGGGGCCACCCTCCCCCAGGGGAGCCGAGGCCTGAAGGCTGACGTCTACAGAAGTGCCTGATAGAAACGGGTAAAGGAAGGAACCAAAAGCTGGGGCCGGAAGGAAGCGGGAGAACAAGCCCTCCTGGCAGCCGTCCAAAAGCGTGCTGGCGAATCGGCAGCTCAGTCCCAGCAGGCAGGCAGGGTGGCTGAGGAATGGGGCTGGGGAGGGGCCCTGTCCAGCTGTCCTATCCACTTGTTGCTGGGAACTTTCCCTAGAGAGGCCAGAGCAAAGCTTACTGGCCGATGCGGGTGGACACGAGGCGGGCGGCGGCAGCAGCCTTGAGGTGGGAGGACTGTGTCCTGCCCTTCCCCGTCCCTGTGGTTTGGCTCTGTCACTGGCCGATGAGCCTGAGCTCGGAGAAACTGGGCAGGCCCAAAGAACCGGTGATTCGGGATTCGCAGGGTAGTGGGGCTGGGGGAACGGAGAGCTCCAGACGGAGGCAGGGGGTCCTGGTGAAGTCCCAGCTCTGCCATTCACTGGCTCTGTGCCCCAAGGAGCACCTGCATCTTCACCCCCGGGCCTCGATTTCCTCCTCCATAAAATGATGACCTCCAAGGCCCTCTTCAGCTTTCGAAGCTGGCAGAGGACAATTGGGGGGGTCGAGGTCCCCGGGATTCCTTCTGGGATTGGGCTTCTTAAACAGTTTTCCGAAGGGTCCTCGTCCCTCTGTGGCAGTGGAGGTCAGGGGAGGTGTCTCCTGCCCCCTTCAGTAGGCAGGGCCCCGGCGCCTAGAAGGTGGTCGCCATGGTTACTGAGAGGAAGATGCCATGTGTGTGGAGATGAAGGTCTCAATGACGCCGTGGTTGGAGGACAGGAGCTGACTGTGGCTGCTGGTAGACTCTGAGCCCTGGTACAGTACCAGGCTACTGGAGGAGACTGCAGAGGCAAGCGTGGCCGGTGAGCTGGGCGGCCTCCCAGGTGGGATCCAGTGCGACCCCTCCCCCCCATCATACAGATGAGGAAACTGAGGCACAGTGAAGCACCCTCCCCAGAGTCACGCAGTGTAAGCCAGGACGTAATAATAACAGTGGTGGTGACAGTGATGATAGCTAGCATTTATAGAGAGCGAGGCCCCGTGTACTGTTGGATCCTCACAATAACCCTGGGAAATAGACAGTATTATCCTTGTTTTACAGATGAGGAAACTGAGACAAAAAGAGGTTAAGTGACTTGTTCAAGGTCACACAGTTGTTAAATATGAGGCTGGATTTGAACTCAGGTCTCCCTGATTCCAGGTCCAGTGCTATTTGAATCCAGGTCCTGCGAGGGCAACCAGTTACCCAGTGGGCTCTGAAGTAACTCCTGCCATTTTGGAAGAGGTAGCTGAGGTAAACAGCCCGGCAGTGCTGCGGACAGAGCGCTTGAGTGGGAGATGGGAGGGACTCAGTTCAAATCCAGCCTCGGATCCTAACTAGCCATGTGACTCTGCACAACGTCACGTGATACTCTCAGCCTCAGTTTCTTCATCTGCGAAGGGGGGGGGTTAATAACAATAGCACCTACTTCCCAGGGTTATTGTGAGGTTTAATAATACACGGAAGGTGCTTTGCAAACCTTAAAGCGCTATAGAAATGATACCTCATCTAGCGAATACTGGGATGATTTCCGAGGGCCTCAGTTTCCATATCTGCAGTATCAATGGGCTGAATTAGGTGAGGTCTAGGGTCCCTCCCACTCTAGATCTGTGATCCTCTGACTTGCCTCTGACCCGGCCCGACCTCCTAGGATCCCCACCTGGGGAAGGTTGTTCTCTGCCTCCCCCTCGCCCCTAGCCGAGATGGCTCAGTAGACAGAAGGCTGGATTTGAGAAGACCCGAGTCTGGATCCTGCCTGGGACACTAGCTGTGTGACCCTACATAAGTCATGTGACCCCTCCCCAGCCTCAGTTTCCTCATCTGTAGAATGGGTAGCTTGGACTTTGGCCCAAGATCCCTCCCCGCTCTAAATCCGTGACTCTGTGATTCCCTGCCGATGTGAGCCGTGACGGCTTTTGCGTCCTTTCCCTGTCCTCCCCACTCATGATTTTCCCTTTCTTCCCTAAGTTCCCTGAGATTTAGAGCCAAACTGGACCACGAGTCCGGCCTCCTCGTTGTATGGATGGGTAACTGACTTGCCCAACATTATCCAGCTAGGAAGGAAGTCAGAGTCAGAATTGGAATGCAGGTCCTCTGACTCTACCACCCCACACCGCCTCCTCCCTCCCAGCAAACACGGGCCCACTGGGTGATCCCACCAGAAGGTTGGGGGCAGGGAGGTGGGACGTCCCTCACCAGCTGGGCTGGTGCTGAGGCGTTGTCCCTGCTGCAGGGGCTCGATACCTGGGTCCTGGCTGGGGATGTGGATGGTCGAAGCCTGAGACACCGGTGTGTGTAGCCCGGACTCGCTGGGGGTCTCAGAGTCTGAGCTGAACACCTAAGGGAAGAGAGATGCCGAGTCACAGGAGGTTGAGGGCAGCTGGGGCTTGAGAACCGTGGACAGTGACCACAGTCTGTCATCCCCTCTCCGCTTTACCTGCTTGGTGGGCGTCAGGCTGGCAAGCGCACTGAGGTTGGCAGTGTCGGTGATGAGCATGGTCTGGGGGAGGAGGCCAGTGTGTGTGTACTGAGTAACATCAGGTTTGTGACTGTAGAGGGCTGTGGAGAAATATAAGTGAGAAGAGAAGCTGCATAAAACACAGGAACCAGGAGCCGTAATTTAGCTGGGACACACTTAGCTAGTGACGCCACACCTTTTCTGAGTGGACCCAAGCAATGACCCAAAAAGATTTCTGCTTACGGAGGGATGGAGGTGTAGATAAACTGTAAAGTGGCTTGGTTTGATGTGTGAATGACCGTGCCTAATGTAAATTAGTATTATGATCATTTGTAGCGCTTCAGATTTTGTCTGTCCCACTATCGGAGCACAGGACTGACCTAAATGGGAAAAGGCACCCTCTCGTCGCTGAGACCCACAGGGGACCAGTCAGTCTGAGACTGCCCAATCCTCTCCCACAACCATCACTGTGGGGTTCAAGCTGGGGAGTATAGAAAGGAAGCGGAATGGCCTCTGGGGGGACCAGGCGCCTCACCGTGAGGACTCTGAAGCTGGGCCATGGTGGCCATGAAGGGACTTTGGGCCATGTGGCCCTGCACCTGTTGCATGAGTGGCTGTTGATAGGAGGGATGCAGTGGCTGGGAGAACTGGACAGGCTGCAGGGTGG